AATAGAATTTAAATTTAAGCACTCGTGGCAGTTATTGAAGCAATATGTTTTGGAGAGCAGACAATGAATCCTTGGTTCTGTTTAATTATGCATTCCAGTGAGACAAAGGGATGGGTCTTCCAAATATCTTGGCACATAGCAGAACTAATTGTTCCCATATACAACTCACACTAGGACAATATCTCGGGGTATAAATGATGTCTGCTTATACTTCAGTATCATAATTTATCACATTTCTTTTATGGTTTCTCCTATTTAGCATTGGAGAAATACAACAACCTTGTTATAGCAGAAATAAAAATAAAAAAAACTTCAATGTATTTCTCTTCAGCTGTACCTGACAATAAAAATAGTTTATTTACTCATAAAACAATGTGTAATCAAGATTGTGGCAAGCTGTTTTTAAAAATGTGCCACTTAGTAGAGTAGATCCAGAAAGTGGTGTACACAATTTAATAACATTACTGACCCCTGCCATTAATTATTTCATCTCTCTTTCCAAACTGTAAGGCCTGACATAGTGCCCTGACCCCCACATCTCACTGAGTATTTCCTCTAGCCCAGCAGTTCTCAACCTGTGGGTCGCGACCCCTTTGGGGGTCGAACGACCCTTTCACAGGGGGTCGCCTAAGACCATCGGAAAACACATATTTCCGATGGTCTTAGGAACCGAGACACCGCTCCTCTATCTCCGTCTCCAGGTGTGGGCGGGATGACATGCCGCCCCTGTCATCTGGACACACCCCGGGATCAATCCTCGCTGGTGATTGGCCGCCGGAACTGTAGCTCAGGAGAGGCACACAGGCGGCCAATCAACGGCGAGGAGGTGGAGCTTGGAGAGGAGGAGCCGAGCGGCACCGCAAAGATCGAGCGAGTGAAGAGGAGGAGAGCGGCCGGAGAAGGAAGTCAGCTGACCGGTAAGTGTCTGTACCATGGGAGAGGGAGGGAGCGAGCGAGCCCAGGCTGGAGCAGGGGTCAGCAAGGTAAGTATCATTGGTGTCAGTGGGAGGAATAGTGCCCAATCATTGGTGTCACTAATACCAATGATGGGGCACTATTTCCTCCCCCACTGACGCCAACGATGGGGCACTATTCCTCCCCCCACTGACGCCAACGATGGGGCACTATTCCTCCCCCCACTGATGCCAACGATGGGGCACTATTCCTCCCCCCACTGACGCCAACGATGGGGCACTATTCCTCCCCCCACTGACGCCAACGATGGGGCACTATTCCCCCCCCCACTGACGCCAACGATGGGGCACTATTCCTCCCCCCACTGACGCCAACGATGGGGCACTATTCCTCCCCCCACTGACGCCAACGATGAGGCACTATTCCTCCCCCACTGACACCAACGATGGGGCACTATTCCTCCTATTGACATCAGTGATGGGACACTATTCCTCCCACTGACACCAATGACGTGGCACTACTCCTCCCACTGCAAAATTACAGTTATGAAGTAGCAACAAAAATAATTTTATGGTTGGGGGTCACCACAACATGAGGAACTGTATTAAAGGGTCGCGGCATTTGGAAGGTTGAGAACCACTGCTCTAGCCCATAGAATAAATGCAGCAATCGTCCCAAAGCAGACCATTGACATACATTGTTTCTGAGTGCAGGTGTAGCTCATCCAGACTATGGGTGGTGGAGGCACTGCTTCTGTAGACCCAGACCAAGTTGTGAATTTCCTGTGTCTGTTGTACCAAGGATATTTAACATTCACACAAGAATTAAGTATTGTGATCACAAGAAATTACGTCATCAGAACATGCACATGAAACAAAACCGCAGTTGACTTTAGGGAACAATTGGATACTAACTGTGTAGTATTATGAAGTTATCACCATTAAAACCTAAGGTCTCGTTCACACCATACGTGCATGAAAACTGATGGAAACTGACTCGCAGAATTCACTTGCAGAGACGTCAGTTTACATCAGTTTTTATGCATGCATATATTAGTTTTATACATGTTGCAGATTCCTGTGCAGAAAAAATTTTCATGTGATACTAATGCTGTGGTGTGAACAGGGCACATAGAGAACAACTGATTTCTTTGTGGCCTTGCAGAATAATGATGACTCTGCACCACGGTGTGAGCAAGCCCTAAAACTAACAATCTAGTTCTGGGTATATTTTGGATTTTGGTTTGTCCTGAAATGAACAAAAATCCACTTACCCTTGGAATTAAGGGCTCATTCACATGAGCACGCGTTCTGCAAAATCAATTGCTCTTTATGTGCCCTGTTAACACCACAAAACTAGTATCACGTGTAGTTGTTTTTCTGTGCAGAATTCTGCAACGTGTATAAAAATCATTGGTGGTCGCATGAAAACTGATGTCTCTGCAAGTGAAATCTGCGTGTCATTTTCCATCAGTTTTTCTGCACGTATGGTGTGAACGAGGCCTAAAGATAGAGGGCTGTAATATAGGAATGAATAAAGATTACAGAATGCATGTGTGAAAGAAGCACAGATACTTTTGGATAATAAGCTTTATGACACTCAGCAAGCTGAAGGCGAAGATGTCCCCAGTGGTTATACAGACAGTGAAAACTGCCAAAGTGAGGATCTCAGCCTTATCTACTATGATAATAATAATTTGAACATTAATAATTAAAAATACTAATAGGAGTACGATGTTAATAACCATAAATAATGATCATAATAATATGATCATAACAAATGAAAATAATAATAATAATTCAAAATAATAATTAGAATATAATGTTAATAATTAAAAAATAATCAGAGTGAGTATGCCGTGTCTACAATGCTAAAAAATAATAATTTCCATTGCTATTTGTATCTTGTTTGAAGATAGGTCACATCTCTTCCTGTCCCAGTGACAGGTACCACTTCAGTGAGGACACAGAAATCCCAGCTAAGGGTACTAAAGTTACCCTACTGTGCATAAACCTACTAAATATTGGTTGGAGCTGGACTTAAAGGGCAACTGTCATTTTTTGTTTTTACATTAGTTCCCCCCACGACACAAAGTGCCTCCTAATAGTTTCAGCCCTACTTCAGTGATCTTCACTGTGCAGCCCTGCTGGGTGCCACACAGCCTTTCCTCTGATGTCACATACTGTGCATGCGTTATGTATATCTATTGAAAAACCTGTATTCTGAGCACCCAATTGAGGCTTTTTCATAGAAATAAATGGATTGTGGCAGCCATGTGAATAAGAAAGGACCATTTTCAGAGGAAAGGCAGTGTGGCTCTGACAGTGAAGATCACTGGATCAGGGTTGAAGGTGGGGGCAACTAATTAAAGGAAAATAATAAAATGACAGTTGTTCTTTTAAGGTCTCGTTCACAGCATACAGTACATGCATAAATCTGATGGAAAAACGTGCAGATTTAATTTGCAGAGACATGAGTTTAAATCACTTTCATGCGCATTTCAACACTGCTGTCATGTCAGTTTTTCTTCTTCGCAGAAACATGTAATAGACATTCTCTGCAAGAGCACACAGAAAACAATTGCTCTCTATGTTCCCTGTTCAAACCACAATGTTAATGTCACTTCATTTTTTTTCTGGACAGAAAATTCATACCTGCTGCAGACTGCTGCACAGAAAAAAATCAACACATGATACCAGTTTTGTGGTGTGACCCGGTGGTGTATTTAGGTTTTGTGCTGCCCTAGGCAACAAACAAACAAAAATCAAACAACCCCCCCCCCCCCCACACACACACACCTTCCCTAAGATAAACTCACCATCACAGCCCTCCGGAATGTAACCATTTTTAGATGTCTTCATTCCCACCGACAGCCCTCTGCTCCATCAGTGCTGCCTATATCACTCACCTGGTTCCCTTCCAGGAGTCTCATGGCTGCTCCCCAGGCTCCCCTCACTCTGATCTTCCACTTGCTGCCCAGCCCTGGTGCCCCTTGGTGCCTGCTCATACACAGCACCATCCGCTCCAGGTCACCGGCATGAGGTCACCACACAGGAACTGGCGGCTGAAGACAGAGCACAGGGTGTGCAGGCAGGGCCATCTTTAAAATTGATTGGGCCCTGGGCAAACATATACTTGGGCCACCCCCCCCCATACTTGGGCCACCCCCCCCCCCCACACACACACTCTGAAACATACAAAAAAACAACAGGTAGATTCAAAATCAGTTTACTGCAGCAGATCAGGCAACGTTTGCAATTGCAGCCTATCAATACCGCTTACTGACTGTTTACTAAAGGTTACAACACATAATTTCTGCTTTCTGATTGGTTGCTAGAGGTTACTGAACATTGTTACTGCTCACTGATTGGTTGCTATAGATTACTGCTTCTCATTAACGCTCACTAATTGGTTGCTAGAGGTTACTGCACATCATCACTGCTAACTGATTGGTTGCTAGAGATTACTGCACAGCATTACTGCTGACTGGTTGCTAGAGACTACAGAAGAGCACTACTGTTCACTGACTGGTTGCTATAGGTTACTGCACATCATTACCGCTCACTGGGCAGTGGAGCAATCTCAAATTATTGAGCAAGGCGGCACATTAATACACACACTACAAGAGATGACCAGAGACTGCAGACATACCACAGGAGATGGCCAGAGACTGTGGATGTACTACAGCAGATGATCAGAGACTGCGGATGTACTACAGGAGATGACCAGAGACTGCGGATGTACTACAGGAGATGACCAGAGACTGAGGATGCACTATAGAAGATGACCAAAGACTGCAGACATACTACAGGAGATGACCAGAGATTGCAGACATACTACAGGAGATGGCCAGAGACTGCAGATGTACTACAGGAGATGATCAGAGACTGCAAATGCACTATAGAAGATGACCAGAGACTGCAGACATGCTATAGGAGATGACCAGAGACTATATACATACTACAGGAGATGACCAGAGACTGCAGATGTACGACAGGAGATGATCAGAAACTGCGGACGTACTACAGGAGATGACCAGAGACTACAGACATATTACAGGAGATGGCCAGAGACTGCAGACATAGTACAGGAGATGACCAGAGACTGAACATACTACAGGAGATGACCAGAGACTGTGTACATAGTACAGGAGATGACCAGAGACTGCGGACACATTACAGGAGATGACCAGAGACTGCGGACATAGTACAGGAGATGACCAGAGACTGCAGACATAGTACAGGAGATGACCAGAGACTGCGGACATACTACAGGAGATGAGCAGAGACTGCAGACACACAGTGCATCCAGAAAGTATTCACAGTGCTTAACTATTGCCACTTTTCTTTATGTTACAGCCTTATTCCAAAATGGATTAAATAAATGTTTTCCTCAACATTCTACAAACAATACCCCATAATGACAACGTGAAAGAAGTTTGTTTTGAAATCTTTGCAATGTATTAAAAAATAAAAAAAGCACATGTGAAAAAAAGCACATGTACATAAGTATTCACAGCTTTTGCCATGACACTCAAAATTGAGCTCTGTTGCATCCTGTTCCCACTGATCATCCTTGAGATGTTTCCACAACTTGATTGGAGTCCACCTGTGGGAAATTCAGTTGATTGGACATGATTAGGAAAGGCATAAACCTGTCTATATAAGGTCCTACAGTTAACAGTGCATGTCAGAGCACAAACCAAGCCATAAAGTCCAAGGAATTGTCTGTAGGCCTCTGAGACAGGATTGCATCAAGGCACAGATCTGGGGAAGGGCACAGAAAAATTTCTGCAGCATTGAAGGTCCCAATAAGCACAGTGGCCTCCATCATCCATAAATGGAAGAAGTTTGGAACCACCAGGAATCTTCCTAGAGCGGGTCGCCTGGCCAAAATGAGCGATCGAGGGAGAAGGGCCTTAGCCAAGGAGGTAACCAAGCACCTGATGGTCACTCTGAAAGAGCTCCAGAGTTTCTCTGTAGAGAGAGGAGGACCTTCCAGAAGAACAACCATCTCTGCAGCACTCCAGCAATCAGGCCTGTATGGTAGAGTGGCCAGACGGAAACCACTCCTCAGTAAAAGGTAAATGGCAGCCGCCTGGAGTTTACCAAAAGGCACCTGAGGGACTCTCAGACCATGAGAAACAAAACTCTCTGGTCTGATGAAACAAAGATTGAACTCTTTGGCCTGAATGCCAAGCGTCATGTCTGGAGGAAACCAGGCACTGCTCACCACCTGGCCAATACCATCCCTATGTGAAGCATGGTGATGGCAGCATCATGCTGTGGGGATGAACTGGGAGACTAATCAGGAAGGAAAGATGAATGTAGTAATGCACAGAGATATCCTTGATGAAAACCTGTTAAAGAGTGCTCTGGACCTTAGACTGGGGCAACGGTTCATCTTTCAACAGCACGACCCTAAGCACACAGCCCACATAACAAAGGAGTGGCTACAGACCAACTCTGTGAATATCCTGGAGTGGCCCAGCCAGAGCTCTCAAAATTTTTAATACATTTCAAAGATTTCAAAATGAACTTCTTTCACATTGTCATAATGGGGTATTGTTTGTAGAATGTTGAGGGAAAAAATGAATTTAATCCATTTTGGAATAAGGCTAACATAACAAAATGTGGCAAAAGTTAAGCACTGTGAATACTTTCTGGATGCACTGTATTACAGAGATGACCAAAGACTGCAGACATACTACAGGAGATGGCCAGAGACTGCAGACATAGTACAGGAGATGACCAGAGACTGCAGACATAGTACAGGAGATGACCAGAGACTGCGGACATAGTACAGGAGATGACCAGAGACTGCGGACATAGTACAGGAGATGACCAGAGACTGCAGGCATAGTACAGGAGATGGCCAGAGACTGCGGGCATAGTACAGGAGATGGCCAGAGACTGCGGGCATAGTACAGGAGATGGCCAGAGACTGCGGGCATAGTACAGGAAATGGCCAGAGACTGCGGGCATAGTACAGGAGATGACCAGAGACTGCGGGCATAGTACAGGAGATGGCCAGAGACTGCGGGCATAGTACAGGAGATGACCAGAGACTGCGGGCATAGTACAGGAGATGACCAGAGACTGCGGGCATAGTACAGGAGATGACCAGAGACTGCGGGCATAGTACAGGAGATGACCAGAAAATGTGGACATACTACAGGAGATGACCAGAGACTGCGGACATACTAAAGGGGATGACCAGAGACTGCAGACATACTACAGGGGATGACCAGAGACTGCGGACATACTACAGGGGATGACCAGAGACTGCGGACATACTACAGGGGATGACCAGAGACTGCGGACATACTACAGGGGATGACCAGAGACTGCGGACATACTACAGGGGATGACCAGAGACTGCGGACATACTACAGGGGATGACCAGAGACTGCGGACATACTACAGGGGATGACCAGAGACTGCGGACATACTACAGGAGATGACCAGAGACTGCGGACATACTACAGGGGATGACCAGAGACTGCGGACATAGTACAGGGGATGACCAGAGACTGGCCAGCCGTGCTCAGCATCCTCGCTGAGGTCCGGGGGTGGGGGCTCCCACTTACATCACAACTTCTACTACAGCAGCTCCCTCTTGAGCATATAGGCTGCATTGGGCGGGGTCAGTGGAGCTTCCGGACCTGGCCTGCCCCCCGCCCCGGCCCTGCTGGCTGGGGAATACAGCAATGTCTCCAGTGTACTCTGTGCGCTCTGCAGTGAAATCATCAGGGTCCCAATTTGCGGGTAGCATGGGCTTAAGGGGCAGCTGCTTTGGGCCCCATAACAACGACTGGGCCCAGGGCAACTGCCCCGATTGCCCCGCGTTAAAGATGGCCCTGCGCGCAGGACAACCAATGTCCCTTCTTCCGCATCGCCCCGAGGCAAATGCCTTGTTTGCCTCGCAGTAAATGGTGTGAACAGGGCACATAGAGAACAATGGTTTTGTCCTTATGCAGAATGCATGCAGAAAAACTTAAGTCTTTGCATGTGGCGTGAACGAGGCCTAAAGCAAGTATCAAATGAAAACAACGAAGTACATTTCTAACACACTTTAAACTATACTCCATTATTAACCTAACATGTTTCCCTTCCACAGGTGGTTCAGACAGACTTTTACCAAATATGACTCCATGTACTGCAAAACATCAGCATTCGGCATCTCTCATAAGCCCAGTGGGTCCAATAATAATGGCTTCCAGCAATCACCCATGCCAGTAATCCTGAACAATATCTTCTCCCAAGCATCAGCTGTTCTCACACATCTCAATGGGACCTTACAGGGAATGATACGACTCCTGCATTAAAGCCAAATATGCTGGCGGTGTTAAGGGAAAGTGATCCTGGACACACAATAAAAAGCTGACATACACCAAAGCTTAGAAAAACTGCTCAACATTTTCACACGGCTCAGCTTTGTTTCCTTTAAACCTTGTATATCTTTCTCTCTGTCCTAAAAGCAACAAGCCGCTGGTTGTCAGCTCACATTTTCTGTTTACACTCATCAGATTATTGGAGCAGAACAGAGACAAAAGAAGAACCTGAGTTTATAGTATATGAGTCGTAGCAGAACATAGTGTCATATACAGAATGATTCTATCCAACCAGAAAAAGACAAGAATATCGATGATCTTACCAAGAAAACTATTTCTAGGTCATCCCAACGTATGACAGCAGAACAAAATGGAGTCACACCAGGTAGTCCTACAAAAGGCGAAGGAAAATATGTTCCTCAAGACATCACGCAAATGGGATTTGAGTTTCTGATGGACCCATTAGACTGCAGTCCCGTGTAATAGTGTTTGCTCTACAAACAGTGAGGTGCCAGTAAGAGGAAACAGACAGGAACTGCAGAGCTGTGAGCATGCAGATTTGGGGCTATTTATGATTTCAGCTATCATTTGCTCTCCAAATATATCTTTCTGTATCTGTCAAAGAGTCACTGGAGCAGAACATGTACAGCAAAAATGAATGCTAAACATGATAGCTTCAGCTACTGGCAGAAATCAAAAAAAGTATAAAGACATGCTGGAGGAAAACTGTACTGGGGGAACACGTAGGCTGCCATTGCTGACCTGTTATCCTAAAAATGCTAGTTGGCTGGCTTCCATGCTGATCCAATGGCTTCAATAGTTTTCACATAACTGATCTGTCACAGACAGAAGGGGTGGATCAGATCAGATTGGAGGTAGGTGGGAAACAAAAACTGTGGCTGCTGACTTTTAAAAAACAGCTACTCACCTGTCCCACGATCCCGCGTTGCCCCCACCGCAGCCCATTTCACTGACCGTCCTGTATTCCAGGCGCCGGCATCTTCATTGTGGGTACCCTGCTGTGACAGCTGGCGGTTTCACAGCCGAGTGCCCACTGCGCATGTGTGAGTGGCACTGAGCTTCCTGAATGGCCCAGTCATCTTCTGGGACCTGTCACGTGTCCCACAAGACTTCAGGGAAGGAGGGTAGGAGGACAACTTCCATTTCTGATCACCTAGGCGAACGCAGCAGAAGTGGGAGCGGGTACCTGTCAAATTTGGGTACCCGTCCCCCCCCTGCTCCCCAAAGGTGCCAATCCTTAATGGGGAGCGGGGGATCAATCTTTAAAACGGAACTTCCCCTTTTGGGTGGAACTCCGCTTTAAGCCATGCATGTGTAAGTACACACGGCCGGTACAGTGAAACTGCGAATGGCTCATTAAATCAGTTATGGTTCCTTTGATTGCTCCATCTATGCATGCAATTTAAAAAAAAAAAAACATCCGGGGGCCCGGGGCTCCAGCCCTGGCCCGGCCACTTTGCTGACTCTAGATAACCTCGGGCCAATCGCACGTCCCCGTGAGGGCGATGATACATTCGAATGTCTGCCCCATCAACTTTCGATGGTACCTTCTGCGCCTACCATGCTGACCACGGGTAACGGGGAATCAGGGTTCGATTCCGGAGAGGGAGCCTGAGAAACGGCTACCACATCCAAGGAAGACAGCAGGCGCGCAAATTACCCCACTCCCGACTCGGGGAGGTAGTGACGAAAAATTACAATACAGGACTCTTTTGAGGCCCTGTAATTGGAATGAGTACACTTTAAATCCTTTAAGCTCCAGAAGATTTTACCCCCTTCAGGACCAGAGCATTTAGCACTGAGCTACTTTAACTGGCAATTGCGCATTTATGCAACGCTGTACCCAAATGATATTTAGACCATTTTTTTTCACACAAACAGAGCTTTCTTTTGATGGTATTTGATCACCCCTGGGTTTTTTTTTTTATTATATAAATTAAAAAAAGACCAAAAATTTTGCACACAAAAATATTTGTTACTTTCTGCTATAAAAACATATCCAATAAAAAAAATTTAATTTCTTACATTTAGGCCAAAGTGTATTCTGCTACATGTGTTTGTTGAAAGAAAAATCCCAATAAGTGTATATTAATTGGTCTGTGTGAAAGTTATAGCGCCTACAAACTATGGTACATGTACTGGAATTTTTTATTTATTTAATACTAGTAATGGCGGAGATCAGCAACTTACAGTGGGACTGTGATAGTGCGGTAGGCAATCTGACACTGACACTGTGTGGAAACTGACTAAAGCCTACTTTACATGATGATAATCTGATCATAAGTACACGACTTTTGACAGTTCATCCGCAATTATCAGAAGTGAGAAACATGAAAATTTCTCTTGTTTTTTGTTTAATCGGTACAGTTTTCATCCAAACATCCAATACAAACAAAGTACAATACATTATATCACTTCTGAAATTCTATTCTGTCATATTAGAATTTTCGTAAGTTGAGTAACCTCTTCATTTTCGATATGGAGTCTAGCATGCAAAAAAAATAAAAAATTGTCAATCATTTGTCTGATATTCTCATTGTGTGTACGAGGCATAACTGACATTGACATCACCAGTGACGCTAATACAGCGATCAGTGCTAATAATATACTGTACATTGTACTAATGACACTGACTGGGAAAAGATTAACATCTAGGGGCAATCAAATAGTCAAATATGTGCCTAACAATGTTTACTGTGTGTAATGTGTGCTGCTTTTTCTGAGCGATGTGCCTGTTTTATTTTTACATCAGACACATCGCTGCTGTCTGTAGAGAGCCCTGTGTTGTTTACCAACACAGGGCTCTCTTCTGTCACTTGCTCAACTGATCAGCAGGCCCCAGCCATAAATCATTGGCTGGGACCCACTGATCAGCTTGTGCAGTAGCCAATGACAGCACAGCCAAGGTGGCAGGTGTGCCCCCTACCTACAAATACTGGATCGTGTATATACGTGTGTGTGATCCAGCACAGTACAGTAGCTTTACTGGTCCATCCAATCAAGTCCGCCTGAAAAAGTGACAGGCAGACCTGACTGGATTGCCCATGTGAAAGGGGCTTTAGGCACTTTACCTCTATATCTATTTGATAGGCTAACAAACATTTTGGATATTCATTTGTCAAGGTGATGTTTGAGTCAGAATCTGATTGGAGATAGATCATCAGAAACACAGTTAGGTCCATATATATTTGGACAGAGGCACAATTTTAGATTTTTTCAGGTATTTACCAAAACATGTTCGAGCTATAGTTATATAATGTATATGGGCTGAAAGTGCACACTCTCAGGGTTAATTTGAAGGTATGTACATCCAAATTGGAGGAAGGGTTTAGGAATTACAGCTCTTAAGAGTAGCCATTCCCCTTTTTCAAGGGACCAAAAGTAATTGGACAATTGAATCAAAAGCTGTTTCATGGCCAGGTGTGGGCTACTCCTTCGTTATTTCTTCATCAATTAAGCAGGTAAAAGGTCTGGAGTTCATTCTAAGTGTGGTATTTGCATTTGGAATCTATTGCTGTGAACCTACATCATGTGTTCAAAGCTGTCCATGCAAGTGAAACAGCCCATTGTAAGGCTTCAAAAACAAAACAAATCCATCAGAGAGATAGCAGCAACATTAGGAATGGCCAAATCAACTGTTTGGTACATTCTGAGGAAAGA